AATGGACCCCAGTGCCAGGGCACAGTGACTGGAAGCCCAGGCAGCCAAGAGCAGGAAGACCCTTAAAATGCCCTCCTGTTCTTCTTCACCCACAGGGCAAAGCCGGAGAGCCGGGTCTGCCAGGACCAGAGGGCGCCCGAGGACCCCCGGTAAGTGCCCTGTGGGGGGTGGGTTTGCTGAGACTGCCGGACTACGGAGTTCTGGAAGTCCTTCTCCTCCAAAACAGTGGGGCTCCCCCGTTGATGCGTTCAGTCCTTTCACGTGCCATGGCTGTAAACTTTGTTTTCAAAACTGCAACTGTCGTTATTACCACATTGTTGTTCTAAGTTCTCTTTGTTCTTCACTGATTTATTGTGATTTGAATGGGCTCTCTCTGGATGACAGAACCTAAAAGTGAGTCTTCATTTTGAACACTTTCCATAGCTAAAGGTTTTCTCCCCAATTATAAAGTAACCAGTTCTCATTGCAAAACAAGAACGATGATGGTAATAAGAAAAAGAATGAAAAATAATTTTATAGAGAAGAAAATAGATATAATTCTGCAGCACACAGAGGTAAAGCTGTTGACATTCCAGTGTGTGTTTCCTAGTCTTTTATTTCCTATTCATGAATTCCAACATTTGAATTCTAAATCCCTAGCTGTCAAGCTTTTCTAGACATAAACATACATAGATGCTTTTTCTATAAAAATGAACTCAATCTCTGTATTTTGAGATTGTTGAAGGTTTTTTTTAAAATTTTTTGCTAAATGCTTTACTCCATCATAATTTTAAAATTGCTTTTGCAATACCTTACATTTGTTTTTTTGGAACAATATGATTTTTAATGAAAATGCTAAAACCCAATTATCTGGCAAGAAGGAGGAGGAGATGAAAATGCTAATTCTCTTTCCTTAATGTGTCTTTCTGTAAAGAAATCAATAACTCACCTGGCTAGTATTCAACATGGAGGAAACAAAACACAAAATCAATTTCCTTTTTGCTAAATCTCCTTGCTTTTCACCTGATTGCACCAGGAGAAACCTAAGAATGGAGAAGGCCACCTTCTATGGGGGATTAATACACAGAATTTGTGATTTTTGTTAAGGTGGCTCCTGGCTGACTGGATGGGAGGGG